CGTTCCGGAACGCTCTGAGGAGGCCGCGGCGCCCGAGACGTCCTCCAGGGATCACGAGGCTGTAGGACGAGGATCGATCCTTCCCAGAGCGTTCCGGAACGCTCTCGGAGCGTTCCGGAACGTTCTGAGCAGGCCGTGGCGCCCGAGACATCCTCCAGAGCTGCCGGATCTCAGAGATTCTCGAATGATGTGTCCGTGGCCGATGTTCTCCTCGTCCTGGCTTCGTCCTGCCTGTGATATCGGGGACCTCGGCAGGCGATGAAGTTGTGGATGCCTGCGGCCTCGGCGATTGGGGTCGCCGTGGGAAGAGGAAGAGGAGGAGGAGGAGGAGGAGGAGGAGGAGGAGGAGGAGGAGGTGCCCCTCCCCCATTGCGGCGCTGTCCCCGCCGCTTTCCTGTCCGCCGCCCGCCCCCCCCCTCCGCGGGCCAGGCAGACCCCGCCCGCGGCCGCCCCCTGCAGCAGGCCGTGTGGGCGAGCGTGGACGGCGCCGTCGGGCTCGTGGTCTCGCTGCGGAGCGAGCAGGAGCGGGCGGGGGCCCGGCCTCCTCCCACAGTGGGAGGCCCACGCCAAGGAGCACCCTGCTTGCCTCCAGGGTGCCCTGGGGTTCTTGGGTTTCGATGGCTTCGCCGTGGAGAGCGTGACGTTCCCACACCACACGTGGAGGGGCATCCTGGGGTCTCAGGGTGGAGTTCCTCGTGGAGGGTTTCACTTGGACTGACCCCCACTGCATCGTTGGGCCAGACCCGTCTCGCGGCACGATCGACAGGAGTACGGACAGAGTGGGTAGTTACGGAGACCGACAGCTGTTCTTCTCCACTCTGGACAGGGTTCGCTGTCGGCGTCGCCGCGGACGCAGTCAATTTGAGACGGGAGGCCGCCTGCCCCACAGCGGCCGCTGTCGTCTCGCTGCGGAGCGAGCAGGAGCGGACCAGCTACAGAATTGCTGTACAGTCGGGGCGCTGAAGAAGGAACCCCTCTCGTTGGGGAGGGGCTCCGTGTTCCTTCATTGTTTCACAGTTTGCCCTAGGTTTTCCCCAGATTTTCGATGGGGAATCAAAGTTTAACTTATGGAAAAAAAGGGGCCTCGTTCCTTATTTGGGGTTCCTTGGGTCAACGCCCCGACTGTACCTCAAACTTGGTGTTCCCGTCGAGCCCACGAGCAAAGGACGCAGAACAGCCCGTAGATCTGCGGAGCCCTCTGCGTGGGTTAGGTGGAGTCGGCGGGGAGTCAATTTTGAGGTATAAGTCGGTTCTGCAGGCGATCCCATCTTTCATTAGTGAATTTAATTGGTTTCAGGGTTTTAACACATGGTCGCAGCCACGCAGAGGGCGTGCGTAGCGACGCCCCAAATGCTCGGTCTCCAGTACTCCTACGTGGCAGCGCCCCCGCAGGCACGCAGAGGGCACGCGTAGCGACGGGGGCGTCGCCACGCAGAGCTTCTAAAGACGAAACATGTTGAAAACCAATTGTTTCCACTACTAAAGTACTCAAAAGGACTGACTGGGCCAGACCAGGCGCCATGGAGGAGACGGGCCCCGAGGATTTCTGCCGCTGTTGATGGCCCTTCGGGGCTCTCCACGGGCCACGGGACGGTGGGTGGGATGGGCTCGGGGGCATGCCACTTGATCTTGACAGGGGTTCGAGGCCAGAGCCCAGGGGGACCGCGCCACGCCTCGGGAGATTTGAGAATTTGGGCTCCGGTGCCCTCAAAGATTCCTCAGGAGAGAGGACTGAGGATGAAGGTGTTAGGGGAAGGACCTGAGGACACGCCCACTCCGTGCCCAGCGGCACGGTGACGGGAATCCATCTCAGGTGCCTCGAGATCCCACGCTCCGCCAAAATCGGAGCGGGCGGTTTTGGGTAGTTTTCGGTCTCGGAGGGCCCTCGCCAGGCCTCGGGAGCCTCAAGAAATTATGGAGAACGAACAACCAGATCGGGAAGTGGTCCTGACCTCAGGCGCACACGCATCGAGAAAATTGGAGCAGCCCGATCTCTGGGTAATTGCACATCAGTAGCACGGCGCACACACTGCCGTAGCAGATCCCGTCCGAGCTCTCTGGGCTGTCCCGCGGCATCCCCAGACGGCGTCGACGCGACCCGTGACGTGACCAGGGGGAGGGGCGGCGGGGCCAGTCACGGGCGCTGTCGCGAATAATAAAGCAGCGGGCTCCGTTCATGCCTGGTTCACACACATCTCAGGGGACGCCGCGTCTGGTGGCATTCGGTCCATCCCGCCGGCCTGCCTGCGCCGAGGGCCAGACGCTTCTCGGAGGTCTCTCGGTGAGCCAATTTTGGCGGCCTCTGGGGGGGCCTCTTGGGAGGGGCCTCTGAAAGCCTCTCGGGGGCCTCTTGGGGGTGCTCTTGGCTCCATCTCGAGCGGTCTGGCGGTAGCGCGCGTTAGGGGCAGTCTTGGAGTCGTTTTGAGCCTTTCTTCGAGGCCTCGGGGGCCGTCTAGGGTCGATCTTAGCGACTTCTTGGGCCATCCTGGACGCCCTTCAGATCGAAAAGGAAAGAACGCCAACATGATTCCAAAACCGCGCAGGACTCCCTCAAGCCGGCCCCGCACCTGGACCCTGGGAATCTCTCAGCATGTTGGAGGCTTCGATTCCGAGCCACGCTACATGAAAGCTCTTGGTCTACAGGTCAAGCCCCGGGGCCCCCACCCACCTGGGGGACCGCTCCCCAGGGGGGCGTTCCCCACGGGAGAAGGATCCAAGCGACGGGGCTTCCCTTCGACTCGAGGGCTGACGGCATTGCTCGGTTTCCCCAGGAGGAGGAGGAGGAGGAGGAGGAGGAGGAGGAGGAGGAGGAGGAGGAGGAGGAGGAGGAGGACGAGGAGGAGGAGGAGGAGGAGGCCGGAGAATCCATTGCTCGGACTGGCGTGCACGAGGAGAATGGCCCAAGGTGGCCACAGGGAATGCGGGGAAGGAGCTTCCGACTGCTGGGAACAGGGGGGCCGCCGTGCAGCCGCCGCGCGGCAGACCGCGGCGGAACGACAGCAACCGCTGTGTCGCTCCTCCTCCTCCTCCTCCTCCTCCTTTTCCTCCTCCTCCTCCTCCTCCTCCTCCTCCTCCTCCTCCTCCTCCTCCTCCTCCTCCTCCTCCTCCTCCTCCTCCTCCTTTGCCATCTGGAACCTTGGCAGCGACTCGCCGACGAGGGGACCTGTATGGGAGCGTGGCCCGTGCATGGGCGCGAGCGTCGTCCACCTCGGGAGCATGGCTGGCGCTTGGGCGAGAGCACCGTTCCCAGGGGTGAGAGCGGCCAGCACTGGGGCGGAAGCACCGCGAAGCGGGCAAGACTGTGGAGCACTGGTGCGACTTCTACGACATCGTAGAGGTCGGGCGTGCGTGCTTTCCTGGAGGCGCCCAGCATGATATAGAGAGAGGGTCGTGAGCACGGCCAGGGCTTGGGCGCGAAATCGCAGTGCTGAGCCGGGGCGTGTGGCCAGCGCCGGAGCGAGAGCACCATGCCTCGGATCACCGGAGCAGATACAGTCAACCCGCATAGCAAGGAAGGGTAACCTTTTCAAGGGTACCCTTACATCCCTGCCTCCTCGGTCCTTCTTTGGACACTTTCGTTGGCCGCGCCCCGCTCGAAAAGTATCGGCATGGTCTTTCAGGGCCCTGGGCATCCTTACCGCGCATCCTTCTTATACGGGTTGACTGTAGACCACCAGCGGCGGGCTGTTTTCTTCGGTCCCTGGATTTTGGAGGGTCGGGGACGGCGTCGGGGTGGTAGGGAGTGTGCTTGCTTCCCCGCTTTCCCGAGGGAAGCACAGGAAAATGTATACACCAGGATCATGCACCCGGGCCTCCGAGGTCATGATTTGTTCATTACGTCGAACCCCCGAGGTCTCGACCCATTCCCCGGGACCGGTTTTTCACCCTGAGTCGTCTCTTGACGGTCTTGAGGCCCCGTAAGGGCCCCCAGAGGCCGAAAAGAATGACAAATTTTCCGTCGTGATTTTTGCATGACTCGAGGGAGTCTGGGTATACGTCAGGATCCGCTTCCCCGTGCGAACTTCAGTGCGGGGCCGGACAAAAGCGTCGGTGTACAGAAAGTTCGGCTCCTCACAGCGCTCTAGGCCTCCTCGACGGGGTCGGAGTGGATGGGGTCGGAGGGTCGCGCCACATCGCCGATGTTTCGCCGATGCGGCTCGATGCGGAGCCCGACGTTCTTCACGCAGACGGCGCCGAGGCCTCGCCGACGTCGCCGGTGCATCGCCGGTGCAAGCCGCCGAGAGCTCGGCGCCGTGCCGTGCAGAGCTTGACGCGGTGCCAGCCGCCGCGATCGGGCCCGGGCGCTGGGGCTGTGAGGGCCGGGCGGAGGCGCTGATGGAGCGTCGGTCTGCGCACGGAGGGCGGCGGGCGCTGCGGCGAGCCCATGAGCCCAGAGCCCCTCGAGCGAGGAGAGCGTGACGGCGGGATGTTTGTCGTCACGCTCGGCATCCGGGGGCCCTTGGCTGGGCCTCGGAGCCGTCAAGAACGGCTCGGGATGAAAGGCCAGTCCCGGGGACGGGGTCGAGGCCTCGGGGGTCGACGTTGTGAACCAATTTCTTGACGTCGGGGGTCTGGGAGCTGGGGCCGAGGCGAGGGCCGCGGCGTAGCGCGCGGGCTGGGACTGGGCGGCGCTGCGTGGACACCACTGCGGGCCTGGATTGGAGTTGACGTGAAGGCAAGGGGACGGGTTCCGCGCGGCATCCGTGCGGCACAAGGATTATGCCAGCTGATGGGACCAGCTCGAACGGGCATCGCTTTATTTTTGTGACGTTCAGAACTTCGGCACCACGCCATTACAGCGTAGAGCATTCAATGTTTGGCCTGCCTTGGCTGCCATGTCTGTCCATGGCAAGGGCACTTGTTCGGATCAAGCTGCAGAGCGTTCGCGCACTAGCCGTGCCGGCTCAAGATGAAGTGGTCCCAGGGGTGCTCTCGGACCAGCGCATGGGTCCCTCGGGCGAGGGCACGCCTGGCTTCCGCCTGCTGCATTTGAACCCTGGATGGCGACCGCCAACGCCCGGGAGCCCCTCATAGAGGAACGAATAATGACGTCAGCATCAGCTGTCGGAGGTTCACGCGGATTTCCCGGATGAGGGCGCGCGGAGCGCGCTATCGGAGGCGCCGCCCAGGGGCTCCAGCGCCGATCCGAGAAATCCGAGCAGCTCTTTGAAAGTTGATGTTTACGGTGGGGGCGTTCGCCAAGGAATGTGCCGGAGAGGCTCCAGACCCTGGACGATTCCTGATCTGACGAGGGGGGCGGTGGCATCGCCATGGCCAATCCACGACCGGAGCCCCTCTTGCTCCCAGACCCTGGATTCCTGGTGCGCCGATTCCCTGGCCGCTGCCCTCGCCGTATGTCATGGTGAGCTCCTCCACACTCGGCGCCGTGCCAGTGCAGGCCGCCACGCTCAGCCCCCGGTGCCACCGGCCGCGGCGCCCGTGGCAGCAGCCGCACGAGCAGGGCCGCCACGCGCTCCTGTCCGCGCGGGTGGTGGCCGCGGCCCCGCCGTTGCTGGGCAGCAAGAGGCCCCCTGCGGCGGCCGCGCGGGTCCTGTGCAGCCGCGCCCCGAGGCCTCGCCGCGGAGCGCACCGAGCCCTGCCGTCCGGCGTCTCGGAAGCATCGAGACGGCGCGCTTGCCTCGCCGTCGGCCTCGGGGGGCCCTCGCCGGACCTCGGGGCCGTCCAAGAAACGACGATCGGGATGAGAGGCCGGCCCCAGGGAAGTGGTCGATAGAGGAGGCCCGGCTCTCAAAGGCATCGTGACGCAGGTTATCTGGGAGCTGACCATTCGTTAGCAATTCATGGGAGCCTGGTGGACGCTCTTCATTCCGTCTTTAGCGTCGACTAGCGTCAATAATTAAGCGTCTGGGAGTCGGTGAGATTACGCCGATTCAGCGTCGGTTAGCGTCGATGAGCGTCGATTTAGCGTCGATGAACGTCGACTCGCAAGAGCAGACAAGATGATATGGGAGGCTCCCATGAGCTGCCACCGACTGGTCCTGAGGAAGACGGGTCCCGGAGTTGTAGTGCATGTTTTTGTCGGGCGCCCCAGGCCCTCCACGCGGGAATGTCCGAAAAGGAAGCAGGACGAGAGTTGGTCCTGGGGGTCCAGGGCGCCGGGGGGCCCAGGGCCCGTTTCCCTGAGGACCCGCCTGTTGCAATCCCTGAGGGCTTGACGACTTGTCGCGAATCGACTTGTGGGGATCAAGCAGGATAAATCGAGGTGCATGGTGACAAATCCAGGTGCGTCCAGGTGAATCTGGGTGGTTCCCATGGTCTCCGTGGAGATCTGGAGCACATCGTGGCCGCTCCAGCGCGGGTCGAGGGTCGGCAGAGGTCGTGGAGCCCTTGACGGCACGAGGCCGCAGATGGGGCCCGGCGCGGGCAGCACCCACGCGGCGCTCAACCCCCGCGACGCGCTCAGCCACGTGCTGCGCCACCGCGCCTCCTGGGAGGGGTACGACGCCTCCGCCCCGCTCTGCGTGCGGAGCATGAGGCCCTCGACGAGCGTCCTCGGAGGAGGAGGAGGAGGGCGATGAGGAAGAGGAGGGGGAGGGGGTGGAGGAGGAGGATGGGGAGGAGGGGAGGAGGAGGAGGAGGAGGAGGAGGAGGAGGAGGAGGAGGAGGAGGAGGAGGACGGGGAGGAAGAGGAGGAGGAGGGAGGAGGAGGAGGAGGAGGAGGAGGAGGAGGAGGAGGGGGAGGGGGAGGAGGAGGAGGAGGAGGAGGAGGAGGAGGAGGAGGAGGAGGAGGAGGAGGAGGAGGAGGAGGAGGAAAAGGAGGAGGAGTTGGAGGAGGGGAGGGGGAGGAGGACAAGCTAGGTGCGCTCGCGTCATATCTGACATGGGAGGAGGAGGAGGAGGAGGAAGAGGAGGAGGGGCCGTGGCCATTTTGGCTCAAGTCCGTAGTGTTTCGGCCCAGGATTTGGCCTTCTGGCGTGGGGGAGGAACGGCCTCACCAGCGAACCCACGGCCACGAGTGGCCACAGGGACACATTTCAGTGAGCTCTTGTTGGAGCATTCCAGCCACGCTGGAACACAGTCTTTCTGCGTCTCGTTGGTCAGCAGCGGCAAAAACGGATATGTGGCGTGTCCTCGTCCTTCTTGTCGCTACCAGTGGAATTGGCGCGCCCACATTCGTTGCTGGAAATGTCGCCACTGGCTCAAGCCAGCACCTTGGTGACAGGAGCCTGATTTACGCGGAGACTGGAGCCAGGGCCCCTCTCGTGGACCTTGGCAGCAGCCAAAACAGCGCGCGGCAACCTTTTTCCAGCACGGAGGTGCAGAACATGAACCAGCTAAACCGATCCTCAACAGCGACTCCCATTTCGCGACCTCCACAGACGATCTGCTCAAGGCTCTGGCGCAGCGACTGCCCACCTCCGAAAACTCTGAAGCCACAAAACAGTTGCAAGCCTTGGCCAAGACCTTCGAGGAGCCGAGGGGAGAAGACAAAAAGAAGAAGGTTCGGCCCGACATCAAGCATATCAAGCACTGCACCACGCAGGAGTACAATCAAGAAAGGCCAAGGAGGGTGTGGACTACGCGGTCACACAAGAACAGAACTGCCAGGAGTAGATGGACCAAGCCCGTGCTGAGACAACCAAACGTGCGAAGGCGACGGTCGAAGTTGAACAACACCACCAACGGCTACTCAAGCAGCACATCAAAGACAGCAAGGCGCGGGACGCTGAGAGCACGAATGTGACTAAGATCAACCTCTCCAGACTCCTCTCCATCCAGGAGGAATCTGGCATCGAGAACATCATCGCCTTCGGCGATGGGGAACACTTCAGGCTGGAAGACTACGACCTCAGCAATGAAGAGATTGAGCAGCGGCAGCAGCACAGGCAACACCTCCTCAAGGAAGTCTGTCAGGTTATTGGTCAAGCAATTGGCCCTTCGGCAAATGACCTGGCGCAGCGGAGGCGAACCATGGCAGAACGTAAAGCGAAGTTGGCGAAGCGCAGGCGCACAACAGCGGGACCAAGGGCGGGGCAACCAGTACCTGATGAACACACCGACCCGCCTGAGCCCAGAGATGCACCCTCGCCAGCACATGCCGTAATTACCAGGTGCACGACCCGCTCAACCAGCAGCAGATAGCAAGATCGAGGCTACCCCCCCGAGGAGATTGAACAAGCCGAGGCAGCCATCCGAGAGCGGGTGGCAGCGATTACTGCATCAGCAGCAGTACCACCACGAGGGTAACAAGCAGCACATAAACGGCCACCAGAAGGGTATGGACAGCTTCGGGCACCTTCTCGAGAATACGAACCCCAATGAGTGGCAGTGGATTCAGACGGCGCAATGATGGACAAGAGCCAGACCTTATCCTTTTTCGTTTGAAAATGGTACTAAATGGACAGATGCGGCGTTGCGCTACATACAGTCAGAGCAGAGGGCATTCATATACAGATGGGGATGGAGACACACCTCATGGACGGGCGGCTTCTTGAGGCGCAGAAGAAACTCAGCACGTTGAGATGGAAGTGCGCGGCCAGCCCTGCTATACCTACAGCGCTGGAGGGACAAGTGGGACACGCTGGAGTATGGGTGATATGCGGATCCTGCATCGGCTCGCGTGTTATGCACCCTTGCAAGCAGTATATAAGTGATGCGCCTCAATCTTATGGAACACAATGGGTGGCCATAGCGATCAGGCAGCACAACGTGGACATCATTCTCATTGAGGTATATCTCAATTATGGTGAAGGGGCCTTCGGCACAGCTGGATACGCGTTGGCGGAGTTGGCAGGATATCTCAGAACTATTACTTGGCATTTTGCTATCCAGGAAGATTGGACTATGACGCCAGAAGATCTTTGGCAGACTGGTTGGGTCACCTTCGCCAGGGGCACAATTATCAAAACACCAGGGGTCTTCGCCAACGCGAGCGGCAATGACCGGATTCTAGACATAAAATGACTGCGCGTACGATGGCCAAGCCGACCCCTATTCTCCCGTCCTCTGGGCCAGATCTACCATGGTCATCTTTCGAAGCAGACGTAGAGGCCACGACTCCGATGGACTACTCGGTCTGGCCAGAGGCCACCAGAGCCGCCTTCAGTCGCCAGCGCGCATGTTTTCGCAGCTCGCAGAAGCTTTTCTCTTGCACAGGTGCGGACAGGAGGTTGGGAAAGTTCGGCGAAGAGATTGCCCCCGGGTCAAAGTTTCGGATCGCCTGGCTGGTCGACCTCCTGGACAGGACAACTTGGGCCCATGAAAGATGTCTGTTTCTGGGGAGGAACCAGGTCCAGGGCCCAGGAGCTATTCGCGATCAACAGGGGGCAAGGAGAAAGAGAAGGACCAGGAGGAGATGAAGATGAGCCAGGAGAAGGTCGGTCATCTGCAGACAGCTGCAATCGCGGGCACAGGACCCGCAGTCAACCGCGGCCTTGGCAAACGCTCCAGAGGCAGTGCGATCCACAGGTGCAGAACTGCTGGCAGGATATTCCGAGCTGCCCGCAGACTTTGAAAAAGTCAGGGAGCCCCACGCAAGGCCAAGGAAACTTTGGCCAAAGCTAGCCTCGCAGCCATGAAGGAGAAGAGTGCTGGTTTTCAAATGTTCCTCCGACAGAGCCTCGCCAAAGGGGCCTGTTGGGCCCATCGGTTTCGCGGGGCCCCGGAACAACCCGAGCCCTCCCTGGGAGAGGATGTTGGCCCTGATGGGCCAGAATTCGTCGAGCCCATGGAGATCATGGGCGTCAAGGCAGGCCCATAGGTGGGCCTCGCTCTGGAATGCAACCGTGGGCGCCCAGAGGGGCCACTTCCCTGACTGGCTGCGACAGCTGGGGGGGCGCACCGAGGAGGAGCAGCTCGACAACCCCCCCCCGGAGCTGACCCTCGAGCAGATGATCCAGGGGACGAGGTGTTTCAAGGCCCGCGCCGGGCTGGGGGCGGACCCGTGGAACCCGAGAGAATGGTTGACGCTGCCTCCTGCAGGCCGCCGGGTGCCCCTGGTTACATTGCGGGGAGTTGAGGAACAGCTAGCGTGGCCTCAACAAACGTTGTTCAATATTGCTGCTATGACCCCGAAGCCCCCCCCCCCCGGGAGGACATAGGCCCATCGCGCTTACGCCTTGGCCTTACCGTCTGTGGAGCATCCTCAGAAAGCGACCTGTCACGACCTGGGGGAGAGAGAAAAAGTTGGTTTCTGGGATCCCGCGGTCAAAGGAAGCAGCCCCCTGAGGGCGACAGTCTTGAGACAATTGAAAGCTGGAGCTCGCGGCCTCCTGGGCATCAGCTGGGTCCAGTTCCTGTGGGGCGCTGATAAGTTTTACGATTTCTTCCACGCAGCCGCGCTAGCCGGCTTGGCTCAATCGCTATAGTATCCTTTGGCGCCTTTTTGTTTAGCGCTGTTTCAGCACCGATCAAATCGATGGCTTGCAGCGGGTCGCATCCTGTCTGATAGCGTCCAGCCAGCCAGCTCCATCATCGTTGGCTGCATGCAGAGTGTGCTTGGTCGAGAATGTATACATGGGACTTGTTCGCCGACATCCACGAGTGTTTCCTCCTCCACGCAATCAGATAGGCAGCTGGGTGGGTGATTTGGCTCAACTCTACATCGGCAATCACAGCGCGGTGCTCAAGCAGAGCATAGCGGTGGCTACAGATCTGGTCAGCAGCATGCGGAGCAAGGGCCATCGCATCTCCAAGAAGTCGGCCGCGCTCACCAGCGCCCCAGAGCTACGAACAGCGCTGCGGAAACGAGTCGCGGAGCTACAACTGCCAGCCCGAGTGGAAGCTAAAGCGCGAGATTTGGGCATCGATGTCAGGGCGCAATGGGGTAAACAAGAAAAGACACTTGAAAGACACTGAGGGAGTCAAAGTGATTCGGTTTCTTGGCAGAGTCGACAAAGGGGCAAAAAGCCCAGTTTGACGGGGCACAAACCACAAGTTGCTCGGGGGGGGCCGTGGCCATGGGCCTCGCGCCCATGCGACCATCACCATCAGGATTAGTTCGGGTAAGGAAAGCAATCCCGTGGTTTGGGGGCCACTTGAGTCACTTTCAGCCTGGCAGGAACACACCCCTAGGACTTCCGAATGGCGAGATGCCATCGACCGCGCTTGGGGGGAGAATGGCCTGATGTTGCAAAACGTAGGGGGTCGTTGGCAGCACGTGCGTGGACACCTGGCTGCAGTCCAGGCAACCCTCCTAGACGTGAAGTGGACGCCCAATTCGCCAGGGGAATGGACCATCCCGCGCGGGGAGAAGTCACACCAGTTTTGAAGGCCCCAATGGGCCAGACCTGCTGAAACACGAAGTGGCGTCCTCCCTGGATCAGTGCTTGTGGGCCCAAGCGAGTAAGCACTATGCGGGGGCTGGGGCTGAGTTGGGGTTGATGTAACGGTGACTTGGGCCCACTTGAAAAGCCTGCGAAGTAAAGGGTTTGCCAATTCAGCTGTTGTCCTAGAGGTGGTCAGCCAGGGGGCCGTGTAGCCCGCGCAGAGACGGTTTGAACAGATTCGCTCAGGTTCCCCGACTTGCACTAAATTCAAAGCCGCAGAAGAATGCATGTATCACCAATTCTGGGAATGCTCAGCCAATGGCGACATCCCAGAGCTGGCAGTAGATGGCGCCCTCTGTGCTCAGGCCAGGGTGGGGATTGAAACTTGCCCGTGTTTCTGGTTGCGAGGTCTGGCCCCGATGTTATGGACCGCGGCTGGGACGGACGCCCCGCTCCCCACCGAAGATATTGCTTTTGAAGGAGACTGGCCCACAGAAGGCCAACTGCAGCTCCCACCAGAGGCCACAGTAGGCACAGGCGGTCCTGGAGGAGAACACTCCAGGGATGCTCGCCTGAGACGGCTTGGATGGTCGTTCGCCGTCTACGTCGAAGGAGACGTGCAAACATCCCTACGAGGAAGTGTTGCAGGCCCGAGGCAGACAGTACCCAGGGCCGAACTGTTAGCTTGTGTGAGATGCTTGCAACAGACCCAAGGTGATGCCAGGGTGGTTGTGGATGCCAGTTATGTTGCCCGAGGAATTCACAAAGGCAGAAACGCCACCCACTCTTCCAATTCAGATATGTGGCGAGAGTTTTGGGCTGCCTAAGGTTCCCATCAAGGAAATGTGGTGCTCCGTAAGGTGAAGAGTCATCTTTCGGAACAAGAAGTGGGACATGACATCACCTCCGCCGATTGGGCCGCCAATGACGCTGCAGATAAGCTGGCTGACAAGGATGCCGAGGAAGCTGGGCCGCCCAACTCCCTAGTCTTGCAAGCGCAAGAGGCTGACATACTACCCTGGAGCGTACAGAGACGTCTTATCAGTGTTTCACTTGAGATAGCCAAAGGAGCTAAATATCTGCACGGCGCGACCCTGAATGGAGATGTGGCAGCCAGGACGATGTCGGATCCCAGGGCTTTGGCTGATGAGAGGCGGGCAGCAGAGGCCCAAACCACTTCCCACTCTCTGAAGGAAGCTCCCCAGGGGTTTCAAGTGTTTAGCTTGCCTTCGGGTCAGTTCCAAGGCGGGTTTAATATACCCTTGCCAGCAGGAGTGCGAGAAGCGGCACTTCCAGATTCATGGCGCTCACAAACTGGAGAATTATCGTGGACTTCGGTTTTGTAGGATGTGCGCGGCACAAGGGGCCAAGAGGTTTATGAAATTGTCCGGGCCTTGTGAGAAACGCTTCAGTAAAGAAGGACGGTTCACATTGAAGAAGCTCGACGCAAGTGAAACGCCCAAAGGGGCGACTCTGTGGCCTGACTCGGAAAGGACCTGAAGGGGCGCTACCGTGGTCCATCTCTCGATTGCTCGGCCGACGACTGCCTCTTGGTTCGTCGGCCTTTGTAGCCAGGAGACAGGGTGGTGTGCTTTTCGTGTACACGTTTGGCCAAACCTTATTTTTGCATTTTCCCGCGATGCGGGGTCCCGTGGATGATCACGGAAGAGGTGGGATCTGGGGTCTGGGGAGGTGTCTCCAGCTGGACTCCCTCCTTTTAAGGCGCGGGGAGTAAACTCGTCGGCTCGCCTCAGGATGTGGCGCAGGAGGGGGAGGAGGGGAGGAGGAGAAGGAGGATGGGGGGGAGGAGGACGAGGACGAGGAGGAGGAGGAGGACGAGGAGGAGGAGGAGGAGGAGGATGGGGGTGAGGAGGAGGAGGAGAGAGGAGGGAGGAGGAGGAGGAGGGGAGGAGGAGGAGGAGGAGGAGGAGGAGGAGGAGGAGGATGGCACTGCAGGCGGGCGTCCTCGAAGAGCGAAAGGCGCTGCTCTAGCTCGGCGGAGCGCTTGTCGCCCTCGCCCGGTCCGCGGCGGCCGCCGCAGCGCTCGGCGCTGCTGCCGCGGCGGAGGCTGCTGCCGCAGACCGCGCCCGAGCAGGCGGCGGAGGTCAGCGCTGGGACGGCACGGGCGGCGCTGGGAGACATGGCCTCGGCCCCGAGCAGTCCACGCTGCCGCGGCGCCGTGGCGTCGACCTCGGCGGTGATGAGGGGATGCACCGAGGATGCGGGTCCCACCCATATGCACCACCACCGCCTCCATACCCCCTCCCTCCTCCACCCCTCATCTGCCTCCCCTCGTCTCCTTGGAGAGGGGGGGGGAGGAGGGGGGCGGTGGTGGTGTATATCTCTGGGCCCCGGAGAGGAGCAGGGCGAGCCTGCAGACGTAGAGTCCATGTGCCTCGAAGGCACGAGGGCGATCCGCACCCCTCCCCCTCGCAGCGGCGAGAAGAACCTGGCCGACGGCAAATGGAGGCCCTCGTCCACGAAGGGCGTCCAGGGGTGCGTCAGGGGCCTCCGGGGCGCACCCTCGCTGGCGCCTGCAGGAGCTTCACCATCGGCACCAGCCAGGGTGGCGACGTCTAAGCGGGCCGGCAGACTGGCAAAGAAGAGGCACAAGCGCTTGGTGCTTCCGTTCGCGTACGACGACGACGATCCCAGGATCGCGCACTTGGAGTCCGTCGCGGGGATGGAGCTCCCGCAGTTCTGGACCAGAAGTGCAGCATGGCCTCCTGATATACCTCCTCCTCCACCCTGCTCGGGCCAGGAGGATGTCAGGCTGCATCGGGGAGGGCCGTTCGGCTGCTGAGCCCCAGGGTTGACGGCGTTTTTCTTTCCCCCGGCGCTTAGGAACGTCCGACGTCGCATTATTTCTGTATTGTGCCAATGATCTCGCGGTGCTCAACCTCGTTCTCACGATGTGAGCTGTTCATTCGAGCCCTGTTTGGCGAACCAGGCTCATGTATGGTAGGTACTCGGTGCCTCTCTCTTTCTCTCTCTCTCTCTCTATGCCTCGATCTGAGAGGTTTCTTGTCCAAGCTTCACCGCGGCAGTGCGACAAAGGGCGCTTGAGTGAATATGCTGGGTTCTTGCCTACAGTGCGATTGGATAGTTTCACTGCTCCCCAATTGCGACCCAACTGATGTTCTGGTCGCCATTCAGTGCTCCGTGCTGGCGCCCATCGTCGTCTCTGCTTCGTGAAACACGCACGCCTTGCTGCTCGTGTTGCGCCTGGCCTCCAGGCACTCTGGCAGCAAGGCTTGCCCGCCGGTGTAGCAGGAATCCCCAGGCACTTTGCTGGGTGATTCCTCACCGATTTTCATCAACCGTTCTGCGGACGATTGAGAGGGATCCTGCTGCCCCTCGCTCCTTGCGCAGACCTTGAAGGGAAAACAGTGCCCTCTGGAGCTGGGCGCGCAGGAGGCGGTGGAAAGCCTCGGCGTCTGCAGCGTGCAGCCCAGCAGATGGGCCTTCCCAGAGGAAGGAAAACACCAACAGGTCACATGATTGTTTCCAGTGTCTCGGGATGGCTCGGATGAGCGAAGATGTATTCCTCGCGCCTGCTTGCCTCTCTTGGACGTCTGCTTTCCAGCGCAGCTAGTGGGCATGTCGTCGTGGGGGCCGATGGCGGGGTGTGCCAGTCCCGCAGGATAAGCGTTCATCGAGCGCCTGATCCTTTGTTGTGGACGGGTGGCGGTCCATGCATCGTCTGATCCATCGATCGCTTGTTTCGTCCGGGGATCGCCTGACTCATCGATCGTCTCGTCTGTCGGAGGTGGTCGACCTGGCTGTCCCGATCTGTCGGGCTGATCGTGAGGTCGGCCGGCGACCTGCGCTGCCGCCATCGTCCGCCCTGCGACCGGGCGGAGGGGTCGGCTCGCGGGGGCTCCGGAGCTCAGCGCCGCGCTGCTGCACTCTGGCTCATCGCACGGACCTCGCGCCGTGGGCCCCGACGACGTCCCGGGGCCCCAGTGGATCGCCCCGGCTCGCTGCGGGGGACGGGGTCGGCGCCGAGGACTCGAGCTCGGGGAGCCTGGCTAATTAGAAGTCGGGCGTGCCCCATCTAGAAGAGGAGCAGTCCAGAGTGGTCCAGCAAGGTCAGGTGATGCTTGATCTTGCTTTTTGTCCATGATCTATTTTTGTTGGGCAGCTCTTGGCTGCGGTTCGTCTTTCGTGCAGAATTCGCCCGTGAGGACCATGCTTGACCGTGTTGGAATTTTTCTTTTGGCCACTTCTCGGCCCGACCCGTGCCTCACATCCCACCAAACCACCCCAACCCAACCCGAAGGCTCAGATTTACCCTCGATTTCCAGTGTGGGGGGGGGGTTCTGGGGAACATCGAAAAAACACACATGTGGAGCCCTTAACCCCTCCAACCCGAAATTCGGGTCTTCGGGTTGGGTTGGGTTGGTCTGGCAGGTGCGGTAGGTTAGTGTCGTGTCGACCAGCGGCGACCCCAGCGCGGGCGTTCAAGGTTGAACGCCGCCGGCGACCCAGAATCGATCGATGTTGAACGATGGGACGTTGCGGCAGCGGCCGATCGTTCCAGGTTGAACGATCCCTGCGGTGTCAAAAACCAACGCTGGGGTCGGCACGACACGAACCTGCCGTAGTCAACTTCTCAGCCCGACCCGTGCCTGGGCTCTCGGGGCGCGGGCCCGGCCCTTGGCGGGCGGCCGGCGCCGGGGACCTCTTGGACGGGCTGCTCTCTCCACGAGGCGCAGCGGCCCCCCGCGGGGCCCCTCGGGGGGCCTCGGGCGCCTCCGAGGGCTCTCCAGCAATTGGGAACCCCCAAACCGGGTGGTGAGATACCAGGTGGCGACCTGGAATCCCCAAAAAGGTCACCGCTGGGTTTGGGGACGCGGGGTCACCACCGGGTTTTGTGACTCCTGGACCCACCAGTGTCCGGGCCATCCTCGGAAAACCGCACGAGTCCCCAAACCGGGTGGTGACAACAAATCGCCCGAGACTCACCGCCAGGTGTTCCCACCACCACGTTTGGGGACTACCAATGCAAGCGGGGGGCGACCGACAGCCTTCGTGGGCCCCGGAAACGGCAGGGCCGTTTTGTCACCGTTTTCCCCAAAAAATGTCCCTTGGAAATGGAGACGGCAGCAAAAACGGCGACCGGATCCGGTAAACAAACGGCGTCGGAACCGGCAACAAAAGCGGCAAAACGGAGCCGGTAAAAAAACGGCCCTGTCGTTTCCAGGGCCCACTAAGGCGACAGCAGGGTGGAGAGCCCATTCGTCTTCGACCCCCCCCCAAGGCAGGGGAAGAGAGGACGGATGGGCAAAAATGGACAAGGGGGAGGGAGAGGGACGGAGCACGAGAGAGGGCAGCAGGAGGGGGGCTGGGGGCCAGGAGCGGAAAACAGGTGGCAGAACCAGACGGGCAGGTTGCGCGGGCAGACCCTGACGGGCGGGTCGGGAAGGCGGGAGCGTTCGCCCCCACCCCCACCCCCCTTGCCCCCAGACTCAAAGTTGACGTCCGGCCTGCTGGAGAGCCCCCGGGGGGGTCCACTCTTTGTGGTCCTCTCAAGCCCAGGGCTCACGAGTGCCCAGGGTCGACTTGAAGTAGTGTGGCGGGGGAGCGGAGCTGGAGGCCCTGGGTGGGCCATTTGTTTTGTTTGTCACTTCGAGCCTGGGCTCCCGAATGCCCAGGGTCCACGTTCTTTGCGTCGAGGGGGGGCCTGAAAGGTGGAGGGGGGGCCCAGGGTTTCATCTTGTTGTCCGCCTACGGTCCCAGAGCGCCCCAGAGGACCCCCGACTCGGACTGGCCAGCCGCCCAGGAGGAGCAGGGCAGAAGAGGCAGCAGAGCAGGACGAAATCTCACGCCGCGGACCAGGAACGAGCACGGCGTGGACAGAGACGTCCGTCGCGACCGCTTTGCTCTCGACGTCGTCCACTCGCTCTCGACTTCCGTCCCCTTCGAGCGAGGTCTGCTCACCTAGGCAGGCCGCGGCGGGAGCCTCGGCGCTCGGAGGCCCGCGCCGACTTCTCGCATCGGCGCCGGACCTCCCCCCTTGGCATCGCTCGGAGGTGTGCATCTTTTCTCGGCGAGAACCATCGAGGACCCTCCCTGGACCATCGAGCCAAAAAAAGCACGCACGAGACCGACAAATGCACGGCGAGAACCATCGAGGACCCTCCCTGGACACGTTTTACTCGGCGAGAACCATCGAGGACCCTGCCCTGGACCATCGAGCCAAACAAAAACACGCACGACACCGACAAACACACGGAAAAATGGCCGCCCGAGCGGCGGCAAAAGCCCCTCCCATGGCACGCGGAGCGCGCCGGAGAGGCGGCGCCGCGGGCGCCGCCGGAGGGGCCCACAACGGCCGATCCAGGAAGCCCGCGCGGAGCTCCAACGAAGTGAGAGCGCCGCCCGTCCGGCGCGCTCCGCGCGCCAGGGAGGGGCGCTCCGGCGCCGAGGTGGCGAGCGCCGCGGCGGGCCTCCGACGGCTGAGGGTGTAGAGTCGGGGCCCGGAGGAAGGAACCCTTTTCGCTGGGGAGGGGCCCCGCGTTCCTTCAGTGTTTCGCAGCTTGCCTCAGGTTTCCCGTCTGTTTTCGATCGGGAATCGAAGCTTAACTCATGGAAAAATAGGGGGCCTCGTTCCTTATTTACCTAACAGCTTGTTCTGATTACCTAACAGCGAAGACTGATAGGTTTCTAATGGCCTAAAAAGAGAGCAGCAGATGACTCCACAGGGGGGTCTGGGCGGGTGCCGGACAGGGTGCCGCAGAAGTCGTTTTAAGCCAACAGTCACACACTTCGTGCTCTTCGACCTCCCAGAACTCCATTCCCGGGCCACATTCTGAATGCCCGGAGCCAACTGTAGGCCACTTCGTGCTCTTCGACTTCCCAGAACTCCATTCCCGGGCACATTTTGAATGCCCGGAGCCAACTGTAGGCCACTTCGTGGTCTTCGAGTCCCCAGAACTCCATTCCCGGGCCACATTTTGAATGCCCGGAGCCAACTGTAGGCACTTCGTGCTCTTCGAGTTCCCAGAACTCCATTCCCGGGCCACATTTTGAATGCCCGGAGCCAACTGTAGGCCACTTCGTGCTCTTCGAGTTCCCAGAACTCCATTCCCGGGCCACATTTGAATGCCCGTAGCCAACTGAGGCTGAGGCAGGCTGCTGCTGAGGCAGGCTGAGGCTGAGGCTGAGGCAGGCTGAGGCTGAGGCAGGCTGAGGCTGAGGCTGAGGCTGATGCAGGCTGAGGCTGAGGCAGGCTGAGGCTGAGGCCGAGGCTGAAGGCACTGAGGCTGAGGCTGAAGCAGGCTGAGGCTGAGGCTGAGGCTGAGGCAGGCTGAGGCTGAGGCTGAGGCAGGCTGAGGCTGAGGCAGGCTGAGGCTGAGGCTGAAGCTGAGGCTGAGGCTGAGGCTGAGGCTGAGGCTGAGGCTTAGGCAAGCTGATACTGAGGCAGACTGAGGCTGAGGCTGAGGCAGGCAGGCTGAGGCAGGCTGAGGCTGAGGCAGGCTGAGGCAGGCTGAGGCAGGCTGAGGCTGAGGCTGAGGCTGAGGCTGAGGCTGAGGATGAGGCAGGGCTGAGGCAGACGCTGAGGCAGGCTGAGGCTGAGGCTGAGGCAGGCTGTGGCTGAGGCTGAGGCTGAGGCAGGCTGAGGCTGAGGCTGATGCAGGCTGAGGCTGAGGCAGGCTGAGGCTGAGGCCGAGGCTGAAGGCAGACTGATGCTGAGGCTGAAGAAGGCTGAGGCTGAGCCTGAGGCAGGCTGAGGCTGAGACTGAGGCAGGCTGAGGCTGAGGCTGAGGCTGATGCAGGCTGAGGCTGATGCAGGCTGAG